AAATAAAAAGCAAAAAAGTCTCCTTTGCTTTTCTATCAGCCCTGCATCTTTTTGGTGCGAACTTTGCTACTCTTCACCTTGAGTAGAAATGGAGCAAATAACTGCAAAGTTCAGGTTACCTGTAACTGTGATTTTGGAAAGAAACAAAAAGAAGGGAGACAAGGAAAAAAACAAAAAACCAAAACAACAACAAACGTAAATTGGAAGGAAAATAAAGTAGGAAGGGAAAAACCGCCAAGGAGGGGGAAAAGTTAGAAGGCTGGTATAAAAGCTTTGTTCGTCATCTGCAAAGTTCCTTGGGTAAGGATGAGCAGGGTCCTGCGAACGCCATTAATTATGTACGATTCTGATCAGAAAATGCCAATTCCCACGCGATTCCTGCTCCTGCACAGGACATTGCCCATTATTTTTTTCTTTATGACGGTTTATTAAGTCACTTTAGTAGGCAACCTTTCAAAGCCCTTTTTAATTTTTTCCCCCTTGTGCAAGTAAGCTGGGACCAGAGCTGCTACACTAAGCTCCTTAGCCTGAAAATCAGTTTAGTGAAGGTCTGGGAGATTCTGGGTTTATTTCCTCCCATACAAGACCTATAGCAGGAGCTTAATAACAAAAGTGCGAAAAGAACGAAACTGTACGGAAAATTACAAACATCAGCAGCAGCTGCCCGAAGCGCTAGGAAAATCTTTCCCTAAACCCTGGACCTAAACCGTCCAAAAGGTCGGTGTGATCAACCCCTCCTACTCGTAAGTTAGCTTCAAATTGTTAATAGGCGGAATAAAATACAGATTAAAAAAAAAAAAGTTGTAATCATAATTCGAAAAATAAATCTCTTCCTTTTGCCTTTTTTTTTTCTTCCCATTTTTTCCCCTGAGAACTGTGTTGTAGTTGCTTGAAAGCCTCCTTAACTTTCTGCAAAACCTAACAAAAAGGAGCGCAGTGCCAACTCATTAGCCGAACAGCGTTTTAAAAGACGATAAACAGTCACGTAGCAAAAAAGGATTTGGGCTGAGAGTGAAAAGCAGTCACCTTCCCGTCGGAGAGCGGATGCACATCAGAAATCAGGCGGGAGAGAAATACCTAACAGCGCTGGGCATAATGTGATTATACCTAAGGTAATCGCTTAAAATAAATTGTATACTGTTTAAAGTAAATCGACCTAAATGGCCACGCTCATCTAATTCAAAGATCATTGGGCAGATAAACTTCTTAAGGAGCCTTTCTTGAGAAGGAGTTTGCTAAAACAGTGTGATCCTTCCAGTATCTTAAGGCGATGCATCCAGTGCCAAGAGATTTTCTCTTTATTATTAACAAATCAGTTTAGATAGGGGTCCGATAAGAAATGCAAATCCAGACATAGGGGTCGCTGCTTGGCCGAATTTTAACTGAAGGCTGGTTATGCGGGAATTGACTACAGGGTACGTTTGCAGAGAGGCTGTGTGAAGCTTTTACACTGACTCTACTGAAAAATGAAGTCAGTGATTTTGATCTGCTCCAGATGTCCTAAGAGTGGATATTGCAGTGCTGGGAATCCGCACCAAATATCTGAGGGCAGTGATGGTAATCAGCGCAACCCATCAGCCAGGGGGGACTGGCAATTGTGATAACCTGCTGCAAATGCGCAGGGCTGGAGATGGCAGTGATAAACCGCTGAAAATATCTTCAAATGGAGATGACAGAGATGTTGAAAGAGACACCTAACTGTGGGGAGAATAGGATACTAAGCAGAGCACAATCTGAGAGTGCAGTTCAGATACTTAACTAGTCTACGGTTCACCCGTGTAATTTCCACAGTGATACATGCGTTTGGGTGCCGTCTCCGCGGGCAGATACAGGAGCATATGGCCCCGTTGGTAAAACTCGGGAGTTATGCGGCGTTGATAATCAGATCTACCAAAAGAAAGGGAGGTTTAGTCTCTAAAGCGCCTTGTTTGTGGCTTGGGGAGAAAAGTTTTCATTTAATTCTGTAACTGCTCTGAAACATCCTGGTAACGATTTGTTTTGCAAATCCTCTTTTCATTTTCAGGTCTCACCGGTAACAGACAAAGAAATTTAAGATGATTTCTTCAGTTAATAGTCTGTTTCAATTTTCTTTCCGGTGGAAAGACTGTGCGGG